GATCCTGTCTAACCTTGCTGCTGCCTGTCTCTGGTCCTTGCCATCTGTCTTCCCCACACTAACCCTTCCCTCAACCTTTCCCTCAGGACGCTGACAAAGCAATTCTACAGCAGCCAGGAATGCTGGATATCTCGGCTACGGTGTACGTTTCCCTCGCTTCTCTGTTGGGGGGAGCTTAGAGATGGAATGGCCACCAAATTCTTGAGTTCCGTCTTAGTGGATATAAATGAGTGTGGCTGGCGGAGCAATGGTCAGAGGCAGGGAGGCAAATTCCTCTGGGTGGTGCAGCACCACCACATCCTTCCTCCACGCGAATTGGAGCGTGCTTGTCTAAATCAGACCTGCAGGATAAAGGCAGAGAATAGGAAATGTGCTTGGTACTTCATTCCATGTGGGAGGGGCAAATGGCAAGGCACCCAACTCCCTCCTCTCTGAGATATCTCTTGGTGAGTGGTGTGGTGAAGGGTTTTTTGTTTTTTTTTTTTTTTTTTTTGTTTGGGATGTGAGTTTTGCTTCTTGCCACCCAGCTGGAGTGCATGTGATAGTCTCTGCTCACTTGGCAACTCCACCTCTTGGGTCAAGCCCCCTCATGTCCCCACAGCCCCCTCATGTCCCCATAGCCCCCCTCATGTCCCCACAGCCCCCTCATATACCCCTCGCATGTCCCCACGGCCCCCTTATGTCCCCACAGGCCTCTCACCGGTTGTTGATCTTGTTCTTCTCTACTTGTTCACTCTGGCGCTGGTTCCACTCCTCCAGGTCTTTCTTGGCCTTCTCCCGCCATTCCTGTTCTGTCACCTTAGACGCAGCATCTAGGACCCCACAGAAGAATGAGCGGCTGCTTTCCAGCTGGGATGCACAGGCCTGGCCACCCCGGCTGCTCCTCCCCTGGCCCCTGCCAGGCAGCCTCAGGGCCACACCGGCCCAGTCCCACATTAAGGCATGCAGGGTTCCATGCACTCCGAGGACTCCCCACACATTCCACCCCACACACAGCCCACCCAGCCAACCCCGGCTCAGCCCTGCCCTCACCCAGCTCTTGCAGCCGTTTCCTCTGCTCCTCTCGCCACTTGCGGATGCTCTCAGGCTCCTGGGTCAGCCTGTCAGCCTGGGCAATGGCTGCGTAGCCATCGGCAGGACCGTTGGCCTCCTACAACACAAACGCGCAGCAGTCTATCCAGCCAGCACACCTGCCCCACTGCCTCTGCTGCCCCTGCTGGGGACTCGCTCATGTCTGGATAACTCGACCTCAAACCACCTCATACCCACCGTCTCCGGTGACTACACCTATCTTTGCACTTGCTGTTCCCTCTGCCAGCAACACTCCACCACCTGTGTGACTGCAGGCAACTTACTCACCCTCTCTGTGCCTGATCATTGCCTCCGGCCCAGTCATAGGTTTTGATACCCCCCAAGCAGGAGACTCAAGAAAGCGTGTGCCAGCCACTTTCTTTGTCATAAAATGGGCTAAATAACAGTATGCACCCTGATGGGAGGACATAAGGATGAAATGAGTTAAAAATTATAAAGAACACTGGGTGGGTGGCTCACACCTGTAATCCCCGCACTTTGGGAGGCCAAGGCGGGCAAATCACCTGAGCCTGGGAGTTCAAGACCAGCCTGACCAAAATGGAGAAACCCTGACTCTACTAAAAATACAAAAAATTAGCCGGGCGTGGTGGTGCATGCCTGTAATCCCAGTTACTCCAGAGGCTGAGGCAGGAGAATCACTTGAACCTGGGAGGCGGAGGTTGCAGTGAGCCAAGATCGCACCATTGCACTCCAGCCTGGGCAACAAGAGCAAAACTCCGTCTCAAAAAATAAATAAATAAAAATAAAATATAAAAATACTGCTTGGCACAGTGAGTCCCTTATGTTACTGTCATTAAAATCTCTATTGTGGTTGTATCAACTCCTAACACTTAGTCCAAAAAGACCTCACTTTTTTTTTTTTTTTTGAGATGACGTGTCCCTGTTTCCCAGGCTGGAGTGCAGTGGCGCAATCTTGGTTCACTGCAACCTCTGCCTTCCAGGTTCAAGCGATTCTCCTGCCTCAGCCTCCTGAGTAGCTGGGATTACAGGCGCCCATCACAATGGCTGGCTAAGTTTTTGTAGTTTTAGTAGAGATGGAGTTTCTCCATGTTGGTCAGGCTGATCTCGAACTCCTGACCTCAAGTGATCCACCAGCCTTGGCCTCCCCAAGTGCTGGGATTACAGGCTTGAGCCACCATGCCCAGCCCAAAAGGACCTTACTTTATAATGTGTTTGTCTGTCTCTGCCATCAGGATGTCATCTCTGTCCTTTTCACTGCTGTGTCCCCAGAGCCCAGCACAGTGCCTGGCCCAGCAGATGCTCAGTAGATGTTTGTTGAGTAGAGAAGAATCCCTGAGATACGCAGCATGATCACAGCTCAGATCACACCATGGGGAAGAACTTGGACTCTGCAGCCTGGCTTTCTCGGTTCAGATGCCACCTCTCATACTATGAAATGTTTGTAAGGCCTGGGAGAAATTGCTTAACCTTGCCTGACTTTTGTTTTCTCATTTGAAAAATGGGGCTGGACATGGTAGCTCATGCCTATAATCCCAGCACTTCGGGAGGCTGAGGCAGGAGGATTGCTTGAGGCCAGGAGTTTAATACCAACCTGGGCAATACAGCAAGACCCTGTCACTATTTTCAAAAAAATTTTTTTAATTACAGAAAAAAAAGGCCAGGCACGGTGGCTCATGCCTATAATTCCAGCACTTTGGGAGGCCAAAGCAGGTGGATCACTTGAGGCCAGGAGTTTTTGAGACCAGCCTGACCAACATGGCGAAACACCGTCTCTACTAAAAATATGAAAAATTAGCTAAGTGTGGTGGTTGCTTAGGAGGCTGGGACTTGGGAGAATCGCTTGAGCCTGGGAGGTGGAGGTTGCAGTGAGCGGAGATCATGCCACTGCACTCCAGCCCGGTCCAGAGTGAGACTCAGTCTCAAAAAAAAATAATAATAAAATAAATAAAATTTTTTAAAAAAAAGGAAAGAAAAATGAGAGTAGACCAGGCGCGGTGGCTCACGCCTGTAATCCCAGCACTTTGGGAGGCCAAGGCAGGTGCATCACATGAGGTCAGGAGTTAGAGACCAGCCTGACCAACATGGTGAAACCCCATCTCTACTAAAAACACAAAATTAGCTAGGCATGGTGGCCCGCGCCTGTAGTTCCAGCTACTTGGGAGGCTGAGGCACAAGAATCACTTGAATCCAGGGGTGGGGGAGGTTGCAGTGAGCCGAGATCACACCACTGCACTCCAGCCTGTGCAATAAAAGTGAGACTCTGTCTCAGAAAAAAAAAAAAAAGGAATAATATTAAGAACACCCCTAAGAGCTGTTGTGATTTCATTAATATTTGTGAAACATTTAGAAGAGTGTTTGGTGTGGAGTGCTGGCTCAGTGAATAGTAGCCAGAATTACTACTATTATTATTCCCATTTTACAGGGAAGGAAACTGAGGCTCAAAGACATGGGACAATGTAGTGGCAGAGCCAGGGCTAGAGTCCAGGTCCCTGACTCCCAGGCAAGGGCTCTGCTCACGTCTCCCCACCCCCCTTGCCAGAGCTGGGGACCCAAAGCGCTGAGGACTGTGAGCTCTGCTCACAAGGGTGTGGCACCCTCTGGTCTGGCAAAGCCTTTCCAATCCAGGTCCAGCCACACCCGCTCTGGCACCCGCGCCCTCCGCATTCCTGTCTGCAGGCATTCCACTCCAGCCGCCCCGCCTTTGTCTCCTGGGGCTTCTGGCCTGCAATAGTCTCCCCTCCCTCCTCCTTCAAGCAGTTATCAAAACTGCCATGACTGCCCGTGTTGTTTGACATCTTCTCCCCACAGGAGTGTCTGGCACACCCTCTGTCCTATGGCGCCCACCTATCCTCAGTGCCTGAATGAGCAAAGATCCCGGAGCCAGCAGGCGCCCGGTTCCAGGAGGAGCTCTGGGAGAGGGAACACAGATGGCACATCAGGGCTTCGGTCTCCAGCTGTCTGGGGAGTGCAGGAAGGGCAGGCCCAGGACAGGGGTGCAGCCTGGCTCCTGGGATCATCAGGGCAGCTGGACGCCACCCTTACTCCTCTTCCAGCACAGCACTGCATTTCAATTCAGAGACTCTCCCCCAATCTCCCAGTGGGTCCTTCTGGGACCCGTACCCGGAGAACACAAGTTCACCGCTGCTCCTTTCTGGGAACAACGCTGCTCTGAGGCCAGGCTACAAGGACTCCTCCCAGCACCGCTGCCCAAACCTACAGAGCCTTCCATCTGCAGACAACTGCACTGTTACTTTGTGTATATGGGTTTACCCAGGTGCCCTGTTTTATTTTCTTCCCAACACTTACCTCTATCTAAAATGACTTGAGAGGTCAGAGAAGTTGGAAATAAAAATAAAAATACAATGAAGGCAGCCATCTAACCACCACCCAATCCCCACTCCTCGAGCAAACATGTACTGAGCCCTTTCTCTGCGCCAGCCCACGTGGGTGTTCAGGAATCCCGAACGCCACTTGACTTTTCATTCCCCAAACTTGCCCCCACCCTCCGTCTGAGAAAAAGGCACCACAGTGCCCTTGTGGGGGAGGAGGAAGAGAAGAGAGGGTCATATCCGAGCGTTGTCTTTAGGGTGGCATCCACATGGCATCGAGACCTCAGCCTTTAGGTCTGTGAGAAGGGGCAGTGGGGGCTGCCTCCTCCAATCGCCACTCACCCACTCGCCTGGTGTCGCACAGCATTTTTACAAAACCTCCTTTGCTTTCTTGGATTTTTTGTTCCAGATGTTAAAATGAAAGCTTAGGGACAGTGAACAATTTCCCAAGGGTACTAAGGCCCCAGCCTCATGTTCGTCCTTGATTTCTCCTTCCTTCCCATGCCCTGAGCAAGTCATCAGCAGGGCCCGTCATCACAATCTCTAAAACTCTCGTCCGGCCCTCACCACCCCTGGCCTGGACCACAGATGGTCTCTGCTTCCTGCAGCCTCATCTCCACAAAATGCCCGAATGACCTGTTCAGAGCCTAAATCCGATTTATCATGTCACACTTTAAAATATCCAAAGGCAGTCGCGCATGGTGGCTGGCGCCTATAATCCTAGTACTTTCGGAGGCTGAGGCAGGCAGACTGCTTGAGCTCAGGAGTTCAAGACCACCCCGGGCAATGTGGTAAAACCCCATCTCTACTAAAATGCAAAAATTAGCCAGATGTGGTGGCGGGCGCCTGTAATCCCAGCTACTCAGGAGGCTGAGGCAGGAGAATTGCTTGAACCCGGGGGATGGAGGTTGCAGTGAGCCAAGATCGTGCCACTGCACTCCAGCCTAGGTGACACAGTGAGACTCTCTCAAAAAACAAATAAATAAAACTAAAATAAAAATAAATTAATTAAAACAAGTGAAGGCTCCCTACTATGGCTAGAACAAAATTCAAGTCATCTGGTCTCACCCTGGGCCTCTGATTTCTGTCCTCTATCTGTGCACTCTTGCCACACTGGCCTTCATGCAAGCTCATCTTGTATCCCCTCAGAGGCTTTGTCTGGAACATTCTTCCCCTAGAATCGAGGGTCTGTATCTTCCTAGGGCTTCCTCTGCCTCCTGATTGAGGCCTTGGCTTGTTTACCTGTTTATTATCTGTGTTTTCCCCCTTCCCTCCCCCAAAAAAGCAAGCAAGCTCCAGCAGGGCAGAGGCTGCCTGTTTCTACACAGCACCCAGCACCGGGATGGCCTGGCTGCAGGAGCCTTTCAAGAATTTTTTTTTTTTTTTTGTGACGGAGTCTCGCTCTGTTGCCCAGGCTGGAGTGCAGTGGCCGGATCTCAGCTCACTGCAAGCTCCGCCTCCCGGGTTCACGCCATTCTCCTGCCTCAGCCTCCCGAGTAGCTGGGACTACAGGCGCCCGCCACCACGCCCGGCTAGTTTTTTATATTTTTCAGTAGAGACGGGGTTTCACCGTGTTAGCCAGGATGGTCTCGATCTCCTGACCTCGTGATCCACCCGTCTCGGCTCCCAAAGTGCTGGGATTACAGGCGTGAACCATCGCGCCCGGCCGCCCTTCAAGAATATTGAACAAATTCACAGATGTTCAGGCTTGGGGACAGGGATGAGCGAGACATCTTCCAGGAAGTCGGGACAGGGAGTCCCTCGCAGA